AACGTTGATGAAATGTCGATGCCAAAGAAGGTAAAATGTGTTACTTGGCCAGAAGATTTAAAAGCAGCAATAAATATAGCATATGGAAAGCATAAAACTGGGAAGCGAATGGCATTTCGACGAACATTCAACAATATCACATATTAAGTTCGGCTGAATCGTCAAGGTATAGCAGCAGTACAAATTGTCAGATAACTCGCGCCGTTTATTTTTGTTTTCCTACCCAAAGAAAAAGGGAAATGTAAGGATGGAAATTTACAATTAATTTCCACCTACATAAAACACCATCACACATACACATGGCACGATCATGACGATTACGCACAGGAAACTCACCAGCAAATTCTGGAGATATCTGAAGTAAAAATTTAAATTGAATTAAAATTTGTTTACATATGTATTAAATATGTTATGTTTACTTGAAAATGCTCGCCTCTGCAGCACCCGTCTACATTGTGGTTAGGTTGTACAAACTATAATTGAAATATAATATTTGAAATAAAAATTAAGATTAATTGAAGAGAAAATACACGCACCATTTTTTTTATTTATTTTTATTTTATTAATACATTTTAAGTAAAATAAAATTAACAAATTAAACAAAGACACCACCGAAACAACACGTTTTGCAAAAGAAAAAAACAAATCGAAACAATAGAATAGCGAAGTAAGAAACAAGAACTGTCAAAATATTCGCCGTAAGAGAGGCTCAAAGAGAAGTTGAGTGTATATACGGAGTACCGCACACAACATGAAATAGAAAATTAATAAACGGCAAAGTAAACAAGAATAATGTGTGATCAGCTGTAAATAAAATTATGGCGTTACACAAAAGCTCGGTCGAATGTGTATATAAGACGCGCATTTTTCTTATACGAGAGACTTGGCATATAATCACTAAGGCACATACACCTAGTAAAAACAAAAAATAAATTCAAGTCCAAAACAAAGGATAATTCCACATCAGGAATTATTAACATAAAGCTAATTATCAATTTATTCTCAATAATTCTACATCAAGAATTATTACACAAAGTCGAATTATATTATTTCAAGTGGTCGAATTACGTCTATCGTAAATAATATAATTTTACAGAATATTTATACAAAGGATAATTCCACATCAGGAATTATTAACGCAAAGCTAATTATCAATTTATTCTCAATAATTCTACATCAAGAATTATTACACAAAGTCGAATTATATTATTTCAAGTGGTCGAATTACGTCTATCGTAAATAATATAATTTTACAAAATATTTATACAAAGGATAATTCCACATCAGGAATTATTAACACAAAACTTAATCAATTTATCTCCATAATTCTACATCAAGAATTATTATACAAAGTCGAATTATATTATTTCAAGTGGTCGAATTACGTCTATCGTAAATAATATAATGTTACAGAATATTTATACAAAGGATAGTTCCACATCAGGAATTATTAACACAAAGCTAAATCAAGTTATATAAACGAAGGATAATTCTATATCAAGAATTATCGATACTAACCATATTTTTCCCCCCTTAGAAAACTCTAAACTATCAAAGTGAATCACAACATCCGAATAGCTCTTGGAAACACTACAGAGCATCCTGTTATAATCAAATCAATACAGAAAACTCTAAACTATCAAAGTGAATCACAACATCCGAATAACTCTTGAAAACACTACAGAGCATCCTGGTATGTTCAAATCAATACAGGTCATTTGGAAGATTTAAGCAGTTACTAATAATATTAAGCTAAACTTTACCAATATTTGTTAATTTTAAAATTTTATTCAACTAAACAATAAAATACAGAAAACATAAGCGTGTCTCTGAATATTTTAGTTATCTATAAAATTTATTGTAACGATCCTGGAGAGACTGAGCATACCTCAGCAAATAAGCAACGACCCCAGGGAAAGTGTCGTTGCAACACTTCGTTCAATAATGTGTGTGACTGACACATAGATGGCGGCACTAATACTAAATAAATATTTTTTTTCGAAAATGGCAATCTTTTTAGGCTTACTGTCAAAATCATATGTTAATCCGACCATTTGTTTACAAGTTACAATGCTTTAAGTGACGCTACTTTTGAGTTTTCAAAAAAAATGAATTCAAAGCAATTCCGTGTGCTGATTTATCATTGTTTTTTAATGAAAAAAAATACTGTTTGGATGACAAGGATGATATTCCATCTACTGGACCTACTGGCCAAATGACCCTGTTATTCCGGAAAATGTTGAAAAAACACTGAAAATCATTATGTCCGACCGTAAAGTGAAAGTGAGGGAGATTGCTGACATTCTACAGATATCAGCAGGCAGTGTACACACCATAATACACGAACATTTGGGTATGAAAAAGGTGTTTTCCAAATGGGTGCCGCGTTTGCTTACACCGGAGCAAAAACAACAACGAATCGATGATTCAAAGAGCTGTTTGGACATGTTTACGCGCAATAAGTCGAAGTTTTTGCATCGGTACATCACGATGGATGAAACATGGATCCACTATTTCACTCCAAAGTCAAATCGGCAGTCTGCTGAGTGGCATTATTGAACGAAGTGTTACAAGGTTCGTGACATTATATTTGGCATATAAAAAAACTTAAATATTGCAATTCCACAATTTGTTTTATGTTTAAAATTGTATACGCTCTCCCTATCCATATATGTCATAAATTTATAAATGGTCTTTTAAGTGTAAGGACGGAATTTTGTACAAATTTCCGCCCTACATAAACTTACTATTTTTATAAAATTTCGTCTACGTAAAAAATTATTTAAACAAATAAATAAAGCCAACCGCGAACATACGCACACACGACAAGCAAAACAAAGCCAACCGCGAACACACGCACACACGACAAGCAAAACGAAGCCAACCGCGAACACACGCACACACGACAAGCAAAACAAAGCCAACCGCGAACACCCGCACACACGACAAGCATAACAAAGCTGACAGCGAATTATACTTGTGCGGTTGTGCGTGCAATCAAGCAAAGCAAAGTGTCGTATATAAATAGCGGAGATTTTATATGAAAGATCACTTAGCACCGGCACACCGAAGTGAGTAGATCACTACTCCAGCGCTAAGTCCCTTTTTAGAAGCCCATGGTGTTTCGACGCTAAGGCTTAATAAATCAGTAGAAGGTATTGGATAGATTTTATAAACGCCTTTGTTGTTTTGACGTCTTTGGCTAGAAACTAATTACGTAGATTTGGAAAAACCCTTTGATGTTCTGACGTCTTTGGGTAAAAATTATTGAATAGACTTTATAAACGCCTTTGATGTTTTGACGTCTTTGGCTAGAAACTAATTACGTAGATTTGGAAAAAACCCTTTGATCTTCTGACGTCTTTTGATAAAACTTACTGAGTAGAATCAAGACTAGAATAAGTTATTTAAAATAATTTTTTTTTTTTAATAAATAAAATTTTAAAATAATAAAAACAAACGGTCTTTTAACTTTCCTTGGTTTACCAGCTTCGAACTAGTCAATAAAACAAATTTATTGCAACGACCCGGACCGCGACCGAGTAATACCTCAGCAGAATTAAAACGACGAATCCGTCACGTTACATAAGATATACACATTTAGGACCAATGATGCTAATATTTAAAAATATTTTAAGAGTTTATGCAGCTTATAATGCTTTCTTGTTATGATGCTATATTTTATACATTTGCAGTTCCTCATGTGGAAATCATTGATGAGAGAGGTTCAGCTACGCCCGAGAAATATTACAAGACTGGCAGTACCATTGAACTTCTATGTATCATATCAAAAGTCCCGCAACCAACATCGTACATAACATGGCGACATCGAACACGTATGCTTAATTATGACACTAGTCGCGGTGGCATCAGGTAAGTAAAATTAATGTATAATATTAAGAGATTGTGATCAATATTCTATTCAGTAGTGCATAATTTTGCATATCTCTATTTGCAATAATATTTGTGATCCACTTTGGATTCTCAAAACCAGTAGTAATGCTGTTTTGAATTCTGTCGTATTTGCTCAGTCATGGGCAGCTCACACTCACGAGCAGCTCACACTCATGAGCAGCTCACACTCATGAGTAAGAACTAATTATTATGTGAATATAAAAGCTGCTTATGAGATCTCACGAGCCGTGAGCTCAAACAAAAAGCCAGCTTACTGGCAATAGTTTTTTTATTAAATTTAAGTGAATAGTTTTATTTTAATTCATGTAAAACTGAATTGTTTATTTTTTTATTTTCAAATTTTGCGAAAAACAATATAAATAATTAAGTTAGTATGAAACGAATAATTAAGTAAATGCACAAGACTCAAATAAATAGTGGCATGTGTCAAATTGTCCAACGAAAACAACAACAACAATTCCACATTTCTTCATTTCTTAGCATACAGTATTTTCTTGTAAGCAGCGCATAAGCTCTCATGAGCATCAGCTCGAATTCTTGCTCACGAGCGTGAGCCAATTTATAACTTAATGGCTGCTCTTGCTCATGAGCAGGAGCTTCTGTAAGTGGGCTCGCTCGTGTGCGTGAGCAATCGTGTAAAAAAAGTTTTTTGCCTGCTTATGAGCTGTGAGCAGAATGAGCAGAAAATATCGTTCATGAGTAGGCAAATACGAACTCTGGTCAAAACTAAAAAATTGTCTCGAAATAAATTGACAGTGTTTTAAAACATGGTGTGTTCCCAATAATCAATTATTGCTAAGCTCTTCAGTCGCTTAATGTTCTTTCAGCATCTAAATGCCGCATAGAACGAGATTCAAAGAAAATGACGTTTGCTTGTCTTAAGTGAAATTGAATTTAGTTTAATTAATAATTATTTTAGGATTTTATACTTATTCAAACTTATTGTACTATTATTTTACTTAGTACATTATTCTAAGAATTTAGGTGATAATGGATTTATAATAGTAAACTATAATAATAAAATATATAAATTCATGTTCATGATGGAACATTCTGCCGGGGGGTCATAACGTAATAATTCATGTTCATGAGTGAACACTCTGCCGGGCTATTATAAAATTTTAATGATAATTATTAAATACCATTATGTTATAGTAGTTGTATCGCATCCTTCATGTCTGACGCCGTCATCATATATCTATGAGGTATTTCTCCATCCATTTTTCCCAAACCTTCCAATACTTATGCTTGAGAATTACTTCGAACTGCCACTGAACTGGAACTGCATACAACTCTGTTAAGATATTATTTAATGTTTGCGGTGACGCACCACATTTCTGTATTATATATTGTTCCGCCGCCCAGCTAATATAATTAATTGCCGTACAAAATCCTCCGTACTGAGGAGTTCTGGGACCAAACAACAGACATAAAAAGTAATTTGTGTTGAACAAAATTTTTAGATTAATTATTTGTAAATTTGTTTTTTTATTTAATTCAAATTTGCTTTCATCGTTTTTGGTATCACCTGATATACCAAGAAGTTCATCTTCTGCGGATTCCTTTTCGTTGTAATTTTTGTTATTAATATTCTCATTGAATATTTCTTCAGGTGCTTCAGCTTCGCTTTTACTGAGTGTGTCTTCAGGATCTTTAATTTTGAGTTGCGTTTTTAAACCATAGACTTGTTCTTCCAGCAATAGATTATCACGTATCAGTTCATGCAAATTTTTGTTTTTGCCACGCAAGAACTCGACTTCTTTTTCCATATCAGGAAAGCTTGATAGGCACGCATGGTTATTCTTCGTTATTTTTTTCCAGTCCCCATATGAAACGATTTTACTTTCCAAATCTTTTATTTTTGAATTAGTAAAATCAAGTTCATTTAAATCTTTCTCATTTTTTAATTTCAAACTATCACATAAACTTGCTTTTTCTTTTTATATTTCAAGTTCTTTTCTCACACCAGACATTTCATTAGTAAGTAATTGTAATTCCATTGAGAGCTTGTCTGTATGAAGTCGATATTCTTCTAATTCGTTTGTCATACAATTTTTCATTTGACGTGCTTCTGTTTCTATATCATCTTTTGCTTTTTGAAGCTTTTGTATTATATCTTCTGAATACTGCTTAAGATCATTCAACACACGTTGCATTCTTACCAAATCTTGTTCAGCCGCTTGTTCACTTTTACGTACCGCCTGTAGATGTGTTTCTGCATCCTGTATCTTACCTGTGAAAAATTTGTGTTGAAGAAGCTATTACTTCTTCTTGGAGTTTACTTTTGAATTTGCCAAAATCAACATCTTCTAATTTTGACACCTTCAAATATATAAGCTCTGCTTTAAGACGTCTAGTCTCCCAAGGACGTGCTGGCGACTGCTCAGCCTCAGTTAGCTTTTTTACTTTTTTAGTTTTACTTCGGCTTCACGATGCTAATCATTAATATCATCTTCCTCTTTACCTAACTCTTCAGAACGTACTTGATGTTCAATCCGCAACATATAATAATATTTTGCATTATATCTATTTGCCTTTGCCAGCTTTCTATTTCTCTTATTAGCTCCTGTTTTTCTTCCAACTGCAGTTTTTGTATAAACATTTCTTTTAGTTTGAGAATTGTTACTATAAATTCAGACATTATCTCGTCCTTTTCTGCTCTATTGCTGCTACGATGCTTTTTGTTATTTTTATTATTGCAATGTTTAGCCCTGACAATGCTTTTAATTTTCTATAGTCTCTTAGCATTGGTGGGGGAAACTATAGATTTTTTTCGAGTTTTAGAGTTTGTAAGGCTCTAAAATTGGATTATATAATCAAGTGTGTTACCACTGGTGGGGGTCACTTGAGAATTCTTAATTTTATTTCATTTCTCCTTTGAATATAGCACTTTTGCTATATCCGGCTCGAAGGACCAAAATGTACTATTATATTATTAACGTACACTGATTGAGTATTTTGTAGTTACTATTCTAGGAACTTAGGTGATAATGGATTTATAATAATAAACTATAATAATAAAATATATAAATTCATGTTCATGATTGAACACTTATTTATTAAACAATTTTTATGTACTTCTATTTTAAAATACGTAAATTACCAATCAAAATGCATTGGTTATTCCTATAATTTCTATTATACTACTATTCAATAGAATTGCCTATCGTGAAGCGAATAGAAATGACATAACAGGATGAAAGAGTTAATTATTGCTACGCTCTTCAGCAGCTTAAAGTACTTTCAGCATATAAATGCCGCTTAGAACGTGATTCAAAGAAAAAGTACTTTCCTTGTCTTAAGTAAAATTGCATTTAGTTTCATTAATAATAATTTTGGGATATTATATATATTCAAACTTATTTATTTAACAATACTTATGTACTCTTATTTTAATATGTTCTATACTTAATTCTATACGTAATATATGAGGTACATATAGTGTGTATATGTGCATAATTTGTAAACATTGAGTGTACAGTAGAAATTTAGATTCAAGTAGCACAAGGACCACATTTGCTTATCACTATAAGAAAATGATATTACAAATGCATATTTGTGACAGCATGAATCAAAATATTTATTTAAGTAATATGTTATGATCAAAATCAAAGCGTTAAAGCGACAAAAATGCATTAATAATTTTTAACACATTTAGTTTCTCTGTATGGGCACTTGCTTGTCATATATGGCACTGATGTTGGTGATGGACACTACACCATTAACAAGAAAATGATAAATCATATAATACTTTCATTTATAGATGGAAAGCATGGAAACCCACAATGTAAACAAACAAAAACCACCTCGGGGAATTCATAATGGACAAGTTTCATCCATTGGACGTCAAATATAACGTCAAATGTCGATAAAATGACAAATGTGATATGGGTATAAGACCACAAATATCACACAACGTATAAATGTTAGTGTTACACTTATACGTTATAAGTGTAAGCGCATTATTCTGGCAATTAGTTGAAACCAGAAAGACAAAAAAGAGATGCTACTGAGTAAAGAAAACCTAAGAAGTGGTTTGACACTACGAAGAGAGATCGCAATACTAACTAAACAAATAAAATGACAAGTGTAATGTGATATGGGTATAAGACCACCCTTATCACACAACGTATAAGCAAAGAATCTATAATACAAAGAAGTGCCACGCTCATACAAACGAAATACCCATTTTATTTTGCTGGTGGATTTATAATAAATCCACCCAACCTCATGCAACAATGTTCGATCGAGTCACAACTGGTATGATGTTCAGTTCAAACCAATATGTGAGTCAAGTAAGGCTGACAAAAGCCCGACAGCATACGTATTCAATCATACATACTGTAACATAAAATTTACACCAACTAAATTTTACTACACAAATAATACCAAACAACACAAATATAATAAAAACAAAATAAACAACAAGAAAACAAACAACAATAGAAAGAAACTTGTAAACAACGAACCGTTGAAATCACAAGAACAAAGATAGTGCTTGCTTCGCACATCACAAGTATAAAAGGCGAAGTAGACGGCAGTAGACGGGCATTCAGCAAGACAGCGAGCTAAGAACAGGTCGCTCTATATTACGTGTGCTGAAACACCAAGAATCGAAATTTACATCTCGATTTCTATTTTGTTTTATTTTTTTTTATTTTTAATAGAAATACACATTTCTATTAAAAATCATAATTAATAACGAAATTAACATTTCGTTAATAGTAATAGAAATATAAATTTCTATTACTCATTTACTAAAACGAAATCAAATTTTCGTTAGTAAATTACGCGGTAAGGTGATAATACCACATGAGTATTAGCACCCATACCAAATCCATTGTATGAAGAAGAAATTCACATTTCTTCAAACCTTTTGTCAGGGGCGTCGAAATTAACATTTCTACGCCAAAATCCATTGTATAGAGAAGAAATTCCCATTTCTTCAAACCTTTTGTCAGGGGCGCTGAAATTAACATTTCTACGCCAAATCCATTGTATGAAGAAGAAATTCACATTTCTTCAAACCTTTTGTCAGGGGCGTCGAAATTAACATTTCTACGCCAAAATCCATTGTATAGAGAAGAAAGTCACATTTCTTCAAACCTTTTGTCAGGGGCGCTGAAATTAACATTTCTACGCCAAATCCATTGTATAAAGAAGAAATTCACATTTCTTCAAACCTTTTGTCAGGGGCGTCGAAATTAACATTTCTACGTCAAATCCATTGTATAGAGAAGAAATTCACATTTCTTCAAACCATATCACCGTACCAACGTCACCATCCACCGTATTCCACTGTTCCTATCAAATAAATTTATTGTAGGACTGAACCTTGAATCCGGCGAGTAAAACCCCGGCCAGAAAGGTTCGTTACAATTGGCGCCCGAGCAGGGACAGTGGGAACAGAACTGACCAACATCTTCAGTTGAGTATGGAAGACAAACCAACGGTGGTACCATCAGGAATCAAGGAAGTGACAGGACAAGCAGACCGTAAAACAGCAGTCGCTTCGACAAGCGCAAAACGACTAACATCAGGAGGCAAATCTTGGATTTACTTCGCTAAAAAGGAGGAACTGGTGAGTTACGCAGACGAGTTCGGACTAGATTCAAGTGGTTCACTGGAGGAACTTCGGAAAAAACTTTCAACGTTCATGGACTCAGAGGCAGCTGAGAAAGATACCGCCCGGCTACAGGAACTCGCGAAACTACATATCAGAAGCTCATCACCGGGAGTCATTGAAAATAGATGTCCTTCGTTAACTAAGGGAGGAAGTTTAACCATGGCCGAATATCCAGTAATCATCAACCAAGTCAGAAAATGGGGATGCCACTACTCAGGGGAACACGAAATACTACCATTTATAGAACGTATCGAGGAACTGGCAGATATGTACGGAATACATCGGGACTTATTACCGAAGCTAATGCCTGAAGTTCTAAAAGACAAGGCACTGATCTGGTTCAGGAATAACAACAAGCGATGGACCGAGTGGCCATCATTCAAAGCAGATATTTTAGCATTCTTCTTGCCCCCAAGATACTTTGAACAATTAGAGGACAAAATACGAGCCCGCCTGCAACAACCCAGGGAACTGTTCAGAGATTATGTATTGGCACTGCAGAACATAATGCAATATTCAACATACAGTGAAGAGATAAAATTAGAGAGAATCTACCGGAACAGTCGTACCGAGTATCAATGGTATATCCGTAGGAAAGACTTCCAGTCATTATCCGAGCTGTTAACATTAGCTGGGGACCTGGAGGCACTGACCGCTACGGACCGTCAAGTAAGAAACACGCTACCGGCTAAGGAGATCAAAGCAAGAGTGATTGATACATCTGAAGACAAGATCAAAGATGTCAGGACAGCTTGTCGTCGTTGCGGACAACAAGGACACTTGAGGTGGAATTGTCGTTTTTCAAGCATCTTATTTTGCTGGGAATGCGGAAAGAAGGGAAAACGTACAATTGAGTGCTGCAGGAACCAGGGAAACGAGAACAGGGTCCATCGACAGAACGGGGCGATGGGACCTCAAGTCAACACCCCGTCCCACCAGTAGGATGCATGAAGCTCAGTGAATCACGTCTGTCGGCCCAAGTGACTATCAATCAACAAGCCATGAAAGCAACGATCGATACAGGATCCTCGCGAAGTTTCATCAATTCGCAAACGGCAGCAAAAGAAGCGCTCATCAGGCTCACAGTAGTCGAGTATCCACAAGTGATCCCGTTACAGAATCAGTCCAACCTACGTACAAAAAAACTTAGCATGCAGGATCGAAATTATCTAGAACAGCATCCAAAACCACTACAAGAAATTTCACAAACGCCATGTAAATGTCTCACACCTCCACTACAAGGATTGCAACGCCTAATGTCGATTAAAGAAAATCCAGAAGTATTTCAACCAGCCCGAGTAATACCAGAAGAAGTGCAGCGCCAGCAAAACACAGAGTCTAACGCAGAATTACCGAGTCAAGAAATACACCGCCAGCAAAACACAGAGTCTTACACAGAATTACCGAGTCAAGAAAGACCCCGTCAGCAAAACACAGAGTCTTACACAGAATTACCGAGTCAAGAAATACACCGTCAGCAAAACACAGAGTCTAACACAGAATTACCGAGTCAAGAAATACACCGTCAGCAAAACACAGAGTCTAACACAGAATTACCAAGTCAAGAAACACCAGGTCAACGGAACACGGAACCTAACACAGAATTACAAAGTCAGGATACACAACTTAACAAACAGTTGCAAACTCAAGTCCAAGAGATACACCGCCAACGATCTACAAGGGAGTTTCTAGCACAAAGCCAAGAGATACAACGACAGCAAAACTCAGAACCTGACAGACAGTTACAAATTCCAAGCCAAGAATGTCGAGCACAAGTTTCAATTAATCGCGTTAGTCAACAGGAACAACTGCCACCTCAGGAGAACTTTAACGTAGATCAACAGAAGGCAAAAGGAACCACGTCACCAACGCTAGTAAGACAATGTTTCGTCGAGACTGAGATTCCAAATAGTAGTCAAAATCACCAGCAACAAGTAAGACGTTTAGGTATACTTGAACAAAAAGATGACAATCATAACATCATAATCCAAGACAAGTTCTTTAAAATTTTCAAAAATCCAAGGAAACGAACAAGGAATCATTCTACGAGGTAATCAGAGTCCTTCAATTCGATGGAAAAACCGGGGAAGTGTAACATAAAATTTACACTAACTAAATTTTACGACACAAATAATACCAAACAACACAAATATAATAAAAACAAAATAAACAACAAGAAAACAAACAACAATAGAAAGAAACTTGTAAACAACGAACCGTTGAAATCACAAGAACAAAGATACTGCTTGCTTCGCACATCACAAGTATAAAAGGCGAAGCAAACGCAGTAGACGGGCATTCAGCAAGACAGCGAGCTAAGAACAGGTCGCTCTATATTACGTGTGCTGAAACACCAAGAATCGAAATTTACATCTCGATTTCTATTTTGTTTTATTTTTTTTTATTTTTAATAGAAATACACATTTCTATTAAAAATCATAATTAATAACGAAATTAACATTTCGTTAATAGTAATAGAAATATAAATTTCTATTACTCATTTACTAAAACGAAATCAAATTTTCGTTAGTAAATTACGCGGTAAGGTGATAATACCACATGAGTATTAGCACCCATACCAAATCCATTGTATGAAGAAGAAATTCACATTTCTTCAAACCTTTTGTCAGGGGCGTCGAAATTAACATTTCTACGTCAAATCCATTGTATAGAGAAGAAATTCACATTTCTTCAAACCTTTTGTCAGGGGCGCTGAAATTAACATTTCTACGCCAAATCCATTGTATAGAGAAGAAATTCACATTTCTTCAAACCTTTTGTCAGGGGCGCTGAAATTAACATTTCTACGCCAAAATCCATTGTATAGAGAAGAAATTCACATTTCTTCAAACCTTTTGTCAGGGGCGCTGAAATTAACATTTCTACGCCAAATCCAGTGTATAAAGAAGAGATTCACATTTCTTCAAACCTTTTGTCAGGGGCGTCGAAATTAACATTTCTACGTCAAATCCATTGTATAGAGAAGAAATTCACATTTCTTCAAACCATATCACCGTACCAACGTCACCATCCACCGTATTCCACTGTTCCTATCAAATAAATTTATTGTAGGACTGAACCTTGAATCCGGCGAGTAAAACCCCGGCCAGAAAGGTTCGTTACAATACA